ACAGAAAGACAGAGAAAGAGAGAGAGAGAAAGAAAAGAAAGAAGGAAGAAGGGAAGCTATTTGGGTAGAGAGAGAAAGAAAGAGAGAGACAGAGAGAAAGAAAGAATGAAAGAAAGAAAGAGAAAGAAAGAAGGCAAGCTATGTGGGAAGAGACAGAGAGACACACAGAGGGACAGACACAGAGAGACAGAGAAAGACACACAAAGAAAGACGGAGAGAAAGGGAGAGAGAGAAAGAAAAGAAAGAAGGAAGAAGGAAAGCTATTTGGGAAGAGAGAGAGAGAAAGAGACAGAGAGAGAGACACATATGCACAGAGAGACAGACAGAGAAAGAAAGAAAAGAAAGAAAGAAAGAGGGAAAGCTATGGGGGAAGAGAGAGATACATACATACATACACACATACATACACACACACAAACACACACAGAGAGACTCCGCAACCTTCAAAGGGATGCCTTAAAAAGCTGGTGGTTTTGTTTTTTTGCTCCAGCGGTTAACAGAATTCAAAAGGCAGCCTGGTTTAAACCATCAGTGGGTCAGGATTGTCCTGCGGGAAGTGAGCTTTGTGGAGGTCTTGGTAGCTTAGCCTCCCAGGATGAGCGTGCAAGGGATGGCCTTGAGATCAAACCAGACCCTGGGAAGGGCGGTTGGTGGTTTCCCTGCATCTCTTTATCGGGTGGAGATTCCCTGCCTGATTCACACCTTTATGCAGGGCGCAGAGATCAAAAGTGAGCCCCTTCCTCAGCCCATCCGCTCCAGGATTGCATGGGGAGGGCACCTAAAATAGGGCAAAGAGGCTGCAGTGTGTGAGCAGAGATTTATTTATTCATCTTTAAATGCCCCCAAATCTCAGGAAAACTCGGGGTGGGGGGTGGGGGAGCACAATAACAACTCTCAAATGTTGTTATAAAAAACAATCCAATCCAACGAATCAAAAACTGTGATTAAAAGGCAAAGAGAGAGCAGCAGAGCTTAACTACGATGGAGTCACCACAACCCCTCACCAGTTCCTCCTGCCACAC